TGATATTGAAATTCAATTACAGTTACACAAATTTAACTTATACCTCTTATATTTTGTCACAATATTGTATAATTTGATAATAGATTAATTAAATATAATTGATAATCATAAATATAAGTCAATAAGAAACGAAGCACATGTACTTGTAAGAAGAATAAAAATAAATGCTTTTCGAAAGAAATGGAACATCAATTTTATGGTAGAAAGTACAAAAACATGTAGAAAAGAATACATGGATTGAATATCTAAAACATCTCTATGCAAAAGAAGAACAAATGACGCTAGAGCCAGAAACATTAGAAATTGCCACAAATGAAGAAATTAATATAAATACAAAGCATGTTCGAAAAAAACTTAAAAAGCAGAAGAACAGAAAAGCTGCAGGTAAATACAGAATTCCAAACGACTATACTTACTGAAATATTGTGGAGCAGCAATGACAGAGCACACAGAATTCCGAAAGGGTTACCAGTACAGTGTATCATCTTCTTACAGTCAGAACTCTAATAGAGAATGCCAATGAATATCACTTGAACTTAGACATTGGCTTCGTTGATTATGAAAAGGCATTCGACTCCATAGAACTTTGTGTAATAGGGAGAGCTATAAACAACTGCAGGATAGACTTCCGATACACAATGCTCATACATAATATTTACAAGAAAGCTACAATGAAAATACAAATAGATGCGAAGACCAAAGCTATACCAATCAACAGAGGAGTTCGCCAGGGAGATGTTATCTCACCAAAGCTATTCACACTTGGACTTGAAGATGTGTTCAAAGACAATAACTGGACAGATAAAGGAATAAATATTAATGGAAGAAAACTACGTCATTTAAGATAAGCTGATGACATTGTAATATTCGCTACAACTTTCTAAGAACTACAGACCATGATGACGCAACTATTTCAAGCTTCGGAAAAAGTAGGTCTTAAGATGAACTTGGAAAAAACAAAAATAATGACAAATATACCGAACATTAGAAAAATAATGTTGAACAACATAAATTTAGAACAGCATTTGACACAATTTGACATAAAGAAAGCATTTGACACAGTAAGACTCAAATATGTAATCCATCTTCTATAATAGAGAAGTTCCCCTAGATATCACAAAAACCATTGAAAACATTTACCAAAACAACAAAATGGAAGTCAGAATATATGGACAATTTACAGAACCTATAGACATAAGCAGTGGAATAACAAAAGGGGACTCATTGGGCTCTACACTCTTCAATTTAATCATGGATGAAATCATCAAAAGTGTCAACAACAACAAGTAACAAGTAAAAATACTCTGGTTACAGAGACAATGCAATATTGATAGCCCAAGATGAAGATATTCTGAAAAGACTAGTCCACAGATTTAACATAAGAGCAAAAAAATTTGATATGACATTCTCAACTCAGAAAACTAAAACAATAGTAATCAGCAAAGAACCAATCAGATATAAAATAGAAATCGATGGCATCAGTAAAACAAGCACTTAATGGAAATAAAATACATTGGACCAATACTGCCCAGATATGGAAACCTGGTCAAAGAAGTGAGAGATCAAGTACAAAAAGCAAATAGACTGACAGGATGCCTTAATAACACTATATGAAGAAACCAATATACTTATTAACAATGAGATGAAATCAATAATTTATAAAACCAGTGTAAGAATAATAATAATACATATGGATCAGAAAAACTACTTAACACAATCACAACAAAAAGATTACTACTATAGAGATGAAATTACTGAGAAAAATTACAGGAAATATGCTGGCAGATCGAAAGAGGAGTTATTACAAGAAAATGTAACATACTGTGTGTAAACGAATGGCCACTTAACAGAAAAAATAAAAAAATAACCACATAAGTAGAATGAGGGAGACCCACGTGATCAGAATGGGAAGAGATAAATCACCAATTGGTAAAAAAGTATTGGAAAACTGTATAAAAGATGGACTGACAATCTTCCATAGAGGTATCAATCCACTAATGAATATTGCTTATATAAAGAGAAAGGTGATTATTGGTAACTATACGTAAAAATAGCAAAAATAAAACTAAAATGGCTTGGCAATTGGTAAAAGAGATTAATTAAGGGTAATTCCAAAAATCAAGGTAATTTCTGTATGGAGGGTGACCCTCAGGTGCTTTCTAATGAAATAAACCAATTTATGGCAAATGCAGCACCAGAAGCTGTAAGAAAATAAAGCATGTAACAAATTTTCAAATTAATATCGAACAAACTAATCATTGCATGTTTTTAACTCCAGTTTCAGAGAAAGAAATAAGTCACATAATAAATAACTTTAAAAACAAGCATAGCTCTGTTTGTGATGAAATATCAACCAACTTAATTAAATATGTTTCATCAGAGATTTCTCTTCCTCTTTATTTTATAGTTAATGCTTGTTTCAGGCAAGGTAAATTTCCTCAAAGTTTAAAACTGGCAATTGTCAAGCCACTACATAAAAAGGTGATGTTACTAAGATGGATAACTATAGACCAATAAGCCTTCTTCCAACATTCTCAAAAATATTAGAAAAAGCAATATATTTCAGACTACAAAACTGTTTTACTACAAACAACTTATTTAGTAGTTCACAGCATGGCTTTCTTGCAGGGAGATCTGTTAAGACAACTTGGCATAAAATCATTTCTCACAGATAGGTCACAAAAGGTATGCTTGGAGAAAAGGGGATGTAAGGTTTACTCTGAACCGATGAATTTAAAATTAGGTAAAGCACAGGGGAGTGTCCTGGGGCCTTTTCTCTTTTTGGTCTACATAAACGATCTTCCAAATGGGATGGTTAGTAGTCCTTAAACCTTGTCAATTTCGTTGATTTCTCAAATGTGCTTTTCTGGGAAAATACTTTAGAAACACTCCCCATAGTGGCAGAGCAAATTCTAAGCAAGGCTGAACAGTGGTTCAGTGGAAATCGTTTGTTGCTTAATACTGATAAGACCGTTTTTGTCTACTTTAGAACCAGCCAGTCACGAGAACAGTTTCCAGATACAATTAATTTTCTATCACAAAACACGGAACCTGTTAGATCAGTTAAATTTCTTGGTATTCATATTGACCAGAATCTGAATTTGGGGGAACAAATAAAAAATACAACCAAAAAAATGAATATAGCCTGCTACTCATTAAGAGTATTAAAGAGCTATCTAGACCAGGGGATTTTACTATCAGTATATTATGCAAACTTTTATTCTGTTATGGAATAATTTTCTGGGGTGCTGCAGTAGATAGCTCAACTGTCTTTGCAGTCCAAAAAAGGCAGTCCGGGTGATCTTAGGGTGATGTCAATATATATTTTTTTAATGTATAATTAATAATATGACATTATTTGCTCAATTATGTTTAAAAATTTATGCAAATAAAAATTTACTCTACTATATAGGATAAAAAAATGTGTAACTCCATACTGTCTGAATTATACCATAACATGATACTAAAAACCTCTAGAAACTGAACGGACCCATTTCTTTATCTCTTCTCTTCTTTATTACTATATAGATATCTAAATCCTAAACCCTCTCAACTGATAATCTTCAAATTTTACAGTATGGACAAAAACTGTTTATAGCAGTAAATTGATGAAGAATATTTTCCATTAGATTTGGGTTAATATTACTGACTTTTAGTTCACATAAATTATTTAGAGTAATTAAGAGTTTTTAAACTTTCATCTAGAAACCCACATTTTCAGAGAAGTTTTGGAATTTATGTATCAATATATGTAAGTACATAATTATTTATTAAATAAGATGGAATACTATAAAAAAACATGCAGTATTATTCTGCTATGTGAATGAGGCTATGTTTTGCATTCATTCCTTTGAGTGCTTTCAAACTGCTAAATGTTAAGTAACAGTCTTGGGCCTGCTGCCAAAAAAGATCTTTCAATATGTACAAAAATTATTTATTTGAGATAGGAAACTCTTTTAAAGTACCACAGATTAAACAATATCATTACTATGAAATTTTCACCTTGAATTTAATTAGCTATGAACAAAACAAACAATGTATGTACCATGTATTAACAAAATGTATGTACATGTATTATCAATATAATACCAGGGATTTACCAGACACTATATTGTTATTTTTATTGGTCATTAAGATAAAGGTAATATTTAATAATATTTCACAAGACATTAAATCTAGATGAAAAAAGAAAAATAATATTTTTGTTCAGCCAAAAACTTCACAGAAGTTTGACATAAACCATACCAAGAAGATGTCAAAGAAGTAGATGAATGAATATCCTGAAAACTTGTTTTGACAGAATGTGTCAGACTAAACAAACCAGATATTTGTCCTACAGGAAATACAAACTATAAGTTACTAATACAGAAATAAGCTGTGTGCAATGTTTGTAGACTTTTAAACATACATAAGATAATAAATTTGAATAAAATGTATAGCTTGACATATCAATATGATTAACCTTACCAAAAAATTAAATGAAAACTGGGATGAAGTAGAATCGAAAGAACAAAGGTCCAAAATGTTGAAAGTAGAACAATATCTAAGACAAGTTACTAAATCACATTTACTTCGCCTGAACAGGTGACACTATTGTAATTAAAATTTACTATTTAAATCATTTTACTGATTCGTAAATTAGTTTTTTGTCTTCTGTCAAGTTACATTAAATGAAGCAGATTAAGGTTTTAGGTATATTATATTTAAGTTATAGCATGTTACTGTTACTGCATATTGTATCCAACTGTTTCAGCATAAAGGACACAAGGCATGTCTTAACCAAAATTAAGTTAAAAAGAATAGAGTAAAAACTCAGTTTACTAAATCAAAAACTTCTTAGACAACAGATTAGTAAAATAATATCCATTTAACCTGGTCTTAATACAATTACAGAATAAGCAGTCATACTTTAAAAAGTATGTTATTGAAATGTCTGATTACTTTTTATTGAATATATTTTAAGAACTACACCTAATATACTAATTTATTACAATACTAACCTTGGAAAACTAGTAATGCTCATAATAGTTTCATTTGGACGAAGCAATTCCATAACTTCTTGTCTCCTATGTTTCATATTGGCCTCCACTATGTTAAAGTGAGCTAGCAAACCTCCATAGGGATGTCCAGGAGTTCCTTCAATCATATAAGCTCCAAATTCTGGTCTCCATAAAGACTTTACACCATTAGGATTTTCTTGTTCTTTTTGGTTAAGGATGGTAAGCAATTCATGACTTCTTAAACTAACCTTTGCCTCTTTCTTGTCATCAAAAAACTTAACTATAATGTATTCCACTTCATCACCCCATTTAAGTATGTCTCCTTCACGATCTCTTAATTTTTTGTAGAGATTAATAAACTGTATTATTCCATGTTCCCGAACATGTTGGGCATGTTTTTTGGTCTCCTCCCAGGACAATGGACTACCTTCAGTTAAAAGACCCATATTCTTTTTCAGTCACTATGAATTAAACGTAACAACTACCTAACGCAACTCCGCGATTAACACGAATGTGCTATGTAATGACGAAAAGCCTGTTTTTAATCAAGATTATCACTAACTTTGATTTTGCGCAATTTCAATAACAAGTTGCACTAACCTTTCACGATATTTATACATAAAATCAAGTATTTCTTACTAAACTTTACCTTTAAAAGTTATTATTATTGCACTATTTTTCTGAACACATAAGAATTATTACTTTCATTTGTAATAATAGGATTAGTCTAACAGAATTCACGAATTATAAATTTCACAAATTATGAATTTCATATTTACCATTTATGCGGTAAGGAAATGAACTAATAAATAAACTTAACCTGTCTATGACGTAACGTGGGTGACATGAATGAATGGAAATGGAAATTCCAAAAATGTAATAGGTATTTGTGCAATGTTGACAAATTGTTGTTATGCAATTTTTGTGGCATTTTAATAAAATTTACTATTTTACTGGGAATTAATAATTAACCACATAAACGATTATTTTGACATTTTAATTTTTACTTTGGAAAACCGAAATTGTGATTAATTCCCAATAAAAATATGGTAAATTTATTTGACAAATTATTTATTAACAATGAATCTTTAAAAACAAATACCTAATTAAAAATGTAAATTGTATCCATTCTATAAATTATTTCATGATCAATAAATAAAAAATACAAATTATGTAAAAATAAATTGCTCAAATTGTATGATTTACTCCTAACAATTATTTATTGTCTAAATTTGTCACCTGCAGTGGAATGAAAATGGAAGCATTAAACAATGATGGAAGGGAAATAAAATAGGAAAAAGAAAACAATACATTTCAGGTTTGGCATCTCTTTACTTTAATATTCGAAGAGGATCTTGCGCTGTGGTAGACGATTTTTGATAAATATTATTACCAGGTAATTCCTACAGGATTATTATCGTAAGAAGCTGTTACACTAGATTATTTTATATATAATACACTAATAATGTAATTTAAATAATTTAAGGATTGTTTCCCAAGTACTTGATTTATCTATTGAGTCATCGAACTCTAGATTTGAATATGTATTTAAAGAAATATTCCAAATCAGGCAACAGTGTAATATAGTACTGTAGGTTGTCTAAATTTGGCGTAACTCATCTGCTTTATAGAAAAATCTTTAAAAAGAAAATAACTATCCGTTTTTTATTGTACTTCACCATACAATTAAAAAAATAACAGAATTTTATAAATTTTGTTCTCTTTTCTACTCTTTTCATTTTATAATTTAGTGGACCGTAGGAGGAATTGTTTGACATCAGTAGTTTGGAGTGGTTTGGAATAGTAAACTTCATCAACTATAGCATTTTTCCAGAGATATCTAAATATCTCTGCATTTTTCTTATAAAAAGGATGCACGTAAATCCAGATTTACATCGTCAGAACCCCACAGCGTTGCCAAAACATCAAAATAGTTAGTAAGTGAAGAATTTTTAAAATGTCAAATATTTGTCAAACTATTGTTCTGAAGCTATTTTCTTCTGGCATTGTAAATTAATTACTATTTATAACTGGGAATAAGCCACAATTAAAGATAAAAATACGTTTATTGATGTTTCAATTTCCAATTCGGAAATTTGATTGATTGTGTTACCGTCTGGGTTAACCCAAGTGCTTTTGTGTATATTTTAACGCTCAAAGCATGTGCTGGCTATCACCATATTCATTGAGGCCGCAAGGTGTATTAAGTGTGTTCCATTGTTGTTCGACTCGTTATGGAGGCTATATTTTCCAATGGTGGGTAGGTAATCGTTTTCTTTTCCTATTTTGGCGTTGAAATCTCCAAGTACTATTTTTATATAATTTCTAGGGCAGTTCTGTATTATTTCTTCCAGTTTTTCGTAAAATTTATCCTTTTCTTCGTCTAGCTTATCTTCTGTGGGTGCATGGACATTAATTACTGGATATTTGAAAAATTCTCCCCTAATTATTATTTTGTATATTCTGTCGCTTATGGCTTCGAAGTCTATTACTGGTTGCTTGTAGGTGCTTCACTAGAAAATAATACTAGGTGATCTAAACGCAAAGGTAGGCACAGAAGACTACGTAATACCGGTGGCAGGAAGATATAGTCTACTATAGCCTACAGAGCTTTCTTGAAACTGGCGACCAAGAAATAGCGGATGAACTACTGTACAGCCTAGACGCCGCTAGAAGACAAAAGTGGACCGAAACAGTAGAAAGTCTAAACTTCCAGAAACCAAGCAGACAGGCATGGTCATTACTAAGAAAATTAGGGAGTGGTGTCCGTACGAAACGCCAAGAGGCAGCCGTAAAGCCAGATGCCATAGCATCACACATAGTAAAAACATCCAGAGCACCAAAGGATAAAGCACACACCATCTACGTAAAGAGAGAACTTAAAACTTTAAAACATGTAGCCACAGAAACGGAGCATTCCCTCCCCTTCACCAGCGAAGACATATCAGAGGCTCTAAAAGATGTTAAGCCAGCAAAAGCACCAGGATTTATTAATATTCACCCTGAATTCCTACTAAATTGTGGCAAGTATACAAAAGTTTGGTTGGCTCGATTTTTCACAGACATTATGGAAATGGAAATATTCCACAAGAACTAAAGCGCTCTAAGATAATAGCCATACCAAAGCCAGGCAAACCCGCTGACAACCCAAAAAACTACAGACCAATTGCGCTTCTCTCTGCCATTTACAAACTATTAGAGAGGCTTATATATAATAGAATCAGTACAGAACTGTTCCAGGTGATCCCAGTCGAACAAGCGGGTTTTCGACCAGAACGAAGCTGCGCGGACCAGGTCATGTCACTCACCACCTACATCGAAGCGGGTTTCCAAAGAAGACTTAAAACTTCATCGCCATTTATTGATCTCTCGGCAGCTTACGATACAGTATGGAGAGAGGGCTTTATATACAAAATTCTCCGTGCAATTCCCTGTAAACAAATAGCACGTTTAATAGATAGCATGCTCAACGACCGAATGTTTCAAGTAGTGATGGGCACAGATATCAGCCCACCAAAGAATGGCCTACCACAGGGGTCAGTGCTCTCTCCATTACTATTTAGCTTATATTTAGCAGATATACCATAAACACAATCAAGAAAGTTCGGATACGCCGATGACTGGGCCCTCACTACACGATGCAGAACACTAGAAACATCTGAAGAAGTTCTGACGGCAGACTTATATATATATATATATATATATATATATATATATATATATATATATATATATATATATATATATTATATATATATATATATATATATATATATATTGAGCAAATATTTTCGCAAGTGGCGGCTTCAACCAAATGCATCCAAAACAGAAGTAAGTTGCTTTCACCTAAACAATAAACTTGCTGGAAAGGAACTGAACATACGGTTTGAAAATACCACACTTTCCCACAACAAAACACCGAAGTACCTGGGCTCAACACTAGACAGAACGCTATCATTTAAAGAGCATTTAACAAAAACTGCCCAAAAGTTGAGTACAAGAAATAACATTATACAGAAGCTCTGCGGTACCACCTGGGGAACATCGGCTTCCACTCTCCGCTCTATTGCTTTAGCCCTCGTTTTCTCGACCGCTGAATATTGTGCCCCGGTGGTCGATGGGCTGGTCATGTGGTACGGATGGATGCCGACAGATTGCCGAGAAAGGCCTTGGATGGTAAAATGCAGGCAGAAGACCAAAGGGAAGACCACGTAATAGATGGGAGAACGAAGTCACAGCAGATGCGCACAACTTATTGAACGTCAGGGCTTGGAGACGAGTGGCGCGGGATCGCCTTTGTGGGAGGCAGAAGTTACAGGAAGCCAAGGCTCAATTTGGGCTGTAGCGCCATTGGAAGAAGAAGAAGAAGAAGAATATTGTGCCCCAGTTTGGCTACACAGTCCACACGTAAAAAAGGTCGACACTAAGCTGCACAGCACTATGAGAATGATAGCTGGTACAATTAAGTCAACTCCCACCCAATGGCTTCCAGTATTAAGTCACATTCCAGCTCCACATTTACGACGAGTTGACGCACTTACACGTGAATACAAAAAGATCATGAACAATATAAACCTGCCGATCCACCAAGATACCGAGGATGCACGAAATACCCGTCTACGTTCTAGAAAACCACCAATGAAAACGGCAAGAATGATACATGAGGAGTTCAACATCACTAATGCATGGTCCCAAGAATGGAATGCATGGCAAAATAACATGCCCTGTATTACCCACAAGCCACCAGGTTTTGATCTTCCACCTAAAACATGGTCCACTCTTAACAGGATCCGAACCAGACATGGTAGATGTACATACATGCTACATAAATGGGGAAAGAATCCGTCTCCTCAATGTGACTGTGAGAAGGACCAAACGATCGACCACATTATTGAAGAGTGTCCCTCAAGATCCCATAACGGTAGCCCTGAAGACTTCCTGTTTGCAACTTCAGAGTCAGTTGATTATGTTAATACACTTGATGTTTGTTTGTAATTATTTAAAGTTTGTCATATACCTATATTACTAGTGTTTATAATTTTGTTCTAAATGTGTTGTAATTGCCATACGATAAATAAATAAATAAATAGTCTACATGAAGTTACAAACGATAATGGATCACGTTTGGTCGATTTTGCAACAGGCTACAACTTAGCCATCAAAAGCACCCAGTTCGCTAGAAAAAAGATCCACAAGGCAACATGGAGATCAAACGATGGAAGAACAAATAATCAAATAGATCACGTATCGATTGATGGGAGACATTCTAGCAGCATAATAAGTGTAACAACTATGAGAGGGCCGGACAGCGACACAGACCATTTTCTCGTAAAGGCCAAGCTCAGAACAAGAATTTCAACACAAACAATAGATAAACACAAAGATCGAACGATGCAGAATTAAGAAATAGGTTTCAGGTTTTAAAAATAAGTGAAAATGAAAGTGA